TCCCTAAGTTTAGAAACAAGGGAATAAAAATCTATAGTACTGTAGGTTCCATCTAGGACAATTAGACAAGAAAAACAAAAAGTGCCCAGGTTGGAAAGAAGAAATAAATCTATCTATTCACAGATGAGATGTCTTGTGTGTAGAAAACCCTAAGGAATACACATACCAAAAACTTTAGGCTACCAGAGTTCAGCCAGGTCGCAGAATACAAATGTAAAATGTCTGTTATTTTTAATAGCTATGAACATTCCAAAAATGAAACTTCAAAACAAATTCTAATTAAAGTATCCTTAAAGGAATATAATAGTAAATTCAACCAAAGTGTAACTCTGGACACTGAAAACTACAAACATCATAGGAAGTCATGGCTGCATTCATAGATGGAAGACTTAAAGTTGTAGGATGTCAACATTCCCAAACTGGTCTATAGGTTCAATATAATCGCCATTAAAAACCCAACTGCCTATTCTGAAGAATGCATAGGTGACTCTAGAATTCGCTCAAAACAATTTCTAAACAAAAAAGTTGGAGTACTTACACTTCTATATTCCAAAACTTATAACAAAGATGTGCCAGTTTAGTGCTGGCATAAAGATAGACTTATCAACCAGAGAACTGTAAGTCCAGAAATGGAGAAGCCTAGGAAGTTTCCAAAACCAAGATAATAAGTCTGCAACAAGAGTATTTCTAGATCTCAAGGGGAGAGTACGGGGACTAGTGCCACCCTTGAAGATAACAGGATTCAGAGGTGCTAATTCACAAGTCTGGTCCCTCCAGAAACTCAAGGATCCTGGAGCTAACAGTATGCTACTCCAACTTCAACCAAATAACAGCCCTGATTGTAACTGCTCCACTTGCTCTACTATCTTTGTGAGATTTGACTAATTTGGTCTCTCTGCATGGTATGAAGCCAGTGAGCTGCTAAATGTCCTAGTCTGTTCCAATAAAGACAGAGAATCAGAAATAGTTCACAGTCACAAAGAATGGACAAGAATAATTTATGGTGCTGTCTTAGGTTTATATCAATCTGATTAGATAGACAAGAAATGGTTAATATACGAAAGGCCTTAGTAAACTACATCTAATACAAATGATGGAAAATAAACTATGAAGATTAAGAGTTCTAGAGATGAGGGACATGCCAAGATATCCCCTGATAAATAAAAAGCAAAGCACTGCATCTTGCATCCCCTTTCTCAAAGAAAGAAACACAATTATTAGTAGGCCTCTTCAGCTTCTGGAGACTACCCATCGTATGCCTGCTCAGTTTGAGATTTACAGTTTGATTTTTTGTTTAAAGATTTATTTTTATTTATTTATGCATACAAGAACTGGGGTGTAGGCCAGAGTATGACAGGATTCACCAGAGACAGTAGGGAGCAGAACAGGTTCTAATACTCGGCTAAGGAGAGCAGCAGGTAAGATAGGAGAGGTCCGCTTTACCACATGTGGGCTAACTTCCTGGCTGGGGATTGGCCATAGCTGCCATAGCGCTGATTTACAGCTTTAAGTCAAGCTGGGAGACATAAAACCTGACAGCCCCCAGTGTGGAGGAGGCAGTAGTTTTGCTTGGAAGAAAAAAAAAAAGGGCAGTGTGAAGTTAACCTTTATGACCAAGATGTAGCAGGAGAATCATAAATGTAAGCTATTGGGATTGTAGAACAAGAACTAGTTAATTGTAGCACAGCATTATATGTCTTTTACATATCATCAGCTGGATTCTGTTAGACATGCTAATTCACAGTGTGAATTTTAACTGGATTGATTAAAACTGTGGGCAGCAGCCCTCCTGCCCGCACGTGACTGTGCAGGTGCTGCTCTTCACCTACCTTCCCCCTTGCAAAGCAGCAGAGGCAGCTCCTCCCAAGCCTGCCCACCTGTGACTAGCAGCCTCTCTCATAACAAACCTGTTCCTTTCAGGGGCAGCCTTTCTGCTTGCTTGTGCCTGTGCAAGCGTCCTTGACATCCCCTCCATTTTTATAATAAACTTGCCCCTTTGGGTATAAAAATTAAACAAAATAAAAACCAGAACCTTGACTGTCCTTTCTGAAATTACGTGAGCTAGAAATACAGAACTTGATGTAAACCTTGGGAGATATCAAAACAGCAGTTGTGCATTAATAAATCCAGCACAAGTCCATCATGAGATAGAAATGCTATACCTGAAATTGTGCATCAGCGGGATCAGGACACAAGCAAGCTGCATGAGCAGGCCACCCAGAACCCCATGTGACACACTCCTGTGTTCTTCACTTACCGTATACATTTGGTGACCTTGGAGACGAATTCACCTGAAGCAGGCAGAAAAGGCTGAGGTCTGGTTTATGGTGTGTGATGGCCACTCCAGGAATGACTGCAAGGCAGTTAGTTGTAAGGAAAATCTTCACAGTAGGCGAATATTGAAATCACCAGTCATGGCCCTCCCTGGTGGCACAGCAGTGGGTTAAAGCACAGCACTAAGAAGCTAAAGCCATTTCCCCAATAGTTCGATCCCCGCCTGCCCCGAAGGTGACCACATGGCGTGGCAGACCTGCCCGCTGCTCCCCTCAGCAGTGTACTTCATCCATCTGCCTGTTCTGTTCCCCACTCTGTCTCTGGTGAAGCCTCTCACCGCCCCTGCACCTCTGGCCTGTACCCCAGTTCTGTATGCATAAATAAATAAATCTTAAAAAAAAAATCACCATTCTGCATGGAAGAAATGCTCAAAGTGAGAATATATAGACTCAAGGGCATGACATGTCCTGGCACATGAATGTAGCAGCCACAGTGGCAGAGATGGAAACTCTGCAAGACCCCTAATAGTGTGGACTTCTAATTACCAAGGATGTAACTACTACTATCCCTGAATCTTCAGCTAAATACTGACAAAGACTGACTTCATTCCTCACACCTCCCTTCATTTCTTATGGAACACATCTCCCTTTCTTTACAGATATTGCTCCCTGGTTATTATCCTAATTTTAATTTCATAATTTGAATTCTTAATCCTTAAAAACCTTAATTTCTAAATGATAAGCATTTGTGAAAACTGTCACATCAGTACGCTTTATAATTTTCAAGGTGGCTGAGACATATTTCACTTATAAACAGAACTCTTAGTTTGCAATAAAAGCCAAAAGTAAGCCTAAAAGTTTAGTAATTAGTACTTCAAAAGAATGATTTAGATAATCAGTGAATTCCCACTACTAAAGTTAATAAAATCTTAACTTCCCCAAAAGAGACCTGGAAAACCAGTGTTAAACCTTAAAAACGAGTCAGCTAGGGCCTCCCTAGTGGCGCAAGGGTTAAAGACAACTTTATCAAGCTACCTCTGGCACCCAAGTGAGTTCTCGCCAGGGGGTGACCCACTTGGCTCCAGTCTCGGCGGCTGCCCCCCTCAGCGGTGCAGCCAGTCTGCCTGGTCTGTTCTGGTGAATCCCCACCCCCTCCCCCCACTCCAGTTCTTGTAAGCAAACTAAAGAAATCTTTTTCAAACATGAAATTATCTGTTAAAATTCTATCACTCCTTAACATACAAGAGTTTGTATTTTCAGTTATCTCAGGAGCAATTATCTGCTAAATCAGTTTCCTACACTGGAAATCTCGAGCTAGTTCAATTTCAGAAAGTCTGGAACTTTTCATTTTGCCAAAAGGATACTAACCTCTAGTGTGGTGACCAGAGCCCACCGCGCAGAGCGCGCCACGGCGTCCTCCAGCATGACGTGGGAGCACCCCCAAAGGCTGCATCCCACACCGCTCCTGTACTCCACGCACCTGTTCACACTCAGTCAGCGCTATGCACTTCCTGTCTCAGACGAAATCTTGAGGGACGGTAACCAGCCGGGGCAGCGGGCAGGCAGCACAGGAAGGCACCGCGCAACGCATGGACGACGCCACTAGGAGCGCTGGGGCTGACGCCCCGTCCGCACGTCACGGAGACTGCAGTTGGGGTCCTTCACCAGCTCGTGGAGCTGCTGACAGGCGCCAAGGGTGCAGCCCTATCGTGCAGTACGGCTCCAGCTCAAGTTCCGCGCTCACGCCTCAGCTGCCCACCCGCGCCGGCCCAGACGCCAGCTCCTCCACCGCAGGCCCCACGCGGGTCTGCCCCGAGCGCCGCGGAAAACAGCGCGCGGACAGGCTTCCTGTGTGCGCTCATCACTGCAGAGCCTGACGAGAACATCCTCTCAGGAAATGTAAAAACTCTCTGCAGAAAGGGTGACACGCGTTTAAAGGGGGGTGTGCCACTTCCTCGTAGGACACCCCGACCCAGTTTGTCAGCGAGGCTCACAAGACACCTCCTGGCACCTGCTTTTTCTCCCTCAGCAGTCCTTGCAGGAAATACTCTCGTATGGGTGAGAGACTACAACTCCAAGCTAGTCTGTGGGGATAAAAATGGCCGGGGTGTTCAAAGATGAGAAACGCTACCTGTGTTACCCCAGGTTCACAAGAAACCTTGGGTTAACAAGGGCTCTCATAACGCCTGTAGGAATTTAAAAAACAGCCGGGGTGAGCTAAGAGCCCGAGAAGCTTCCATTCGAGCCCCTTCTTTCTACCAGCCCGCGTCTGCAAGCGGCAGTCAGGCGCGTCGAGGCGGGGAAACGCCGCTCCGGGACCGGCGCCCAGCAAGGCGCTGAGCCCAAGGCCCACGAAAACTGCCCGGCACAGAGCGGCCTGCCGACGCCGCCACGCTGGTTGTCGCCTCCGCAAACAAACGCAGGGGAGCCCCGGGCGGAAAGGAGCAGTACGCAGCTTCCACCAACTCTTGCCAGGTTGGGAGTCTCAGGAAACGCCACTCTCCCTCCTGCGGAAACAAGCGCAAGATGGCGGCACAGCACGTGAGCGACGTGCTGACGCCACGGCGTGCGCGCGGAGCCCCGCCCCGGCCCCGCCCCTCGGGCGCCCTTACCCGGCTTCGCCCCCCTTGCCTCCCCCGCCCTGGGCCTGTGTAGATTATGCCGCCAGTGGCGGCCCTGACTGCCGAGGGAGCAGTAGCCTAGGACAGTTGGCTAAGTGACACTGGTTCTCCCCGCCCCGCCCGACCCCTGAGAAAGAGGCACGTCCCTCGCCGCCTGAGGGGGTGGGGAAGCGGGTAGTGAACTCGGACCCATCTGGGAGGGGGGAGTGGAAGTTCCCGCCCCGGACAGCAGCGAGGCGGCAGCCACAGGTAAGTGGGGGCGGGGTGGGGCG